ACATACTCTTAAAAGAACCAATTTATATAAAAAGATATCAGGATTAAAATGTTGTCCGCCAGACGCGAGTTCAGTCTACAAAAGATTCATGATCAGTGACGCTCGTATAAAAAAAGTAAAAAAAGGCCAAATAAAGTACGAAGTTGAAAGGAATTGAGTACCCAAAATTTCGAAACAAAGGTTTTGCTGAATACATCTGAGGTAATCGCTTCGAAAATGTCAAAGTTTATAATAGGACAGCCACTCAAAAAAAGAAAGAAAAGAGAAACAGCTAGAGGTCAGAATACCTTAACTAATGATGACCATGCTTGAAAGTCACATGTCAAGCTCTAACTGCCGTGTCCTGAATTTGGATAAGAAACGCGAAAATTCACATTCGCGAGTGAAATTAGTATTTATGCATATTCAGAACGAGAATATCTTACAATTAGTACAATTAGTAGGTTTTGCTAGATACGCCGACAGGGATCAAGGGCTGGAAATTTGAACTGCTACAGGAAATGAAGATATACTGGATAAAGGTAGAAATTACCTTCAACAATGAGCAAAACCTATACCGTAAAGTCAGCTATAAAAGGACCCGCCATGACAAAATATGAAACAATTCAAACGAAAAAAACCAACGGCCTGATTTGTGACAAAAAATTAACGAAAAACAAATACATCATTTTAAAAAGTAATAAATTTACTCCGCTAAAGTAAGAGGCTATTCTAGGGTGAATCTTTAAAACACTTTAAAAAATATTTTTCAAAAACAAAATGACAACACAAAATTAATTGTTTCAAAAAGAGAGGCGGAAGATACCAAAGAGATATTCAAATTAATAAGTCAAAGACATTAAACTGACCATAAGACAAACATCAATCTCAATCTACAAAACACAACAGAGGAAAGTAAAATCATTGAACCCAACCAAAATCTAGGGGTGATCTAGTGTGCTCCGAAAGAGTAAGATTGTAGTTTAAAGACAACATTAGTTTATTGACTTGACATAATAACAATAATGTTGAACCTCGCATTTTCTCGTTTCTCAGCCTTATCCTTATGTCGTTATCATGTCAAATCAATAAACTAATTTAGTCTACATATATGTTATACTGATCATCGCTGTTAAAGATAACAAATTCCGTCAGACAACTCATAAAGGAGAATGGTCAAATATGATGGTGAAGTCTTGTAGTCAGCACTTCTGTGTTGGCATAAATTATCATTGATATGGTCATTTTTATAAATAAACTGTTTACAAAACTGATTTTTTTCGGAATACTAAGGACTTTCTACCCCAGAAATATATTACCGTAACTGGTAAATTTGGGTCCTCAATGCTCGTCAACTTCGTAATTTATTTGATCATTTTAACTTTTTTGATTCGAGCGTCAGTGCGTACAAAATTTTAATCCTGGTATCTATAATGAGTTTATTTGGTAGGTTATTTACGGATAAGTACTGTACCATTATTTTGGGTGCATTAACCCATATACATGTAACATTGCAACAAAAACTAGAACGAGTGTTTTCGAGAAGAGCGTGCGATGTGAACTGCCGGTCCTAAATCCAGATAAAGAAGTGGGAAGTCAATCATTTAGTAATTGTATCTAAGTAATAATCAATTTAATCGGAGGTAGTTGTCTGTCAGTTCTATAGTGCAAATGAAACCTACGGCTTTCAAAATGAAGTGATTTTGAAGTAATTAAATTTTATTTGGCATTTCCGGACTTTCGGACGGTTTTTGTCATTTTCTTGGTTTTCTTATAGAAATCCTATACAAGTGGTAAAATTGAGAAAGGTGATGACGAATTTCATTCTTATTTTGCTATATTTAATGTTATATCTTTTATTTTAAAGTTCTACGATAACGGTATTTTGCACAATCTGTACAGTAAAAAATCTTTGTGAGATATACGAACGTCATTACTTGCGAGTTAAAAGGGGAAGGTTTGAGATAAAAAAAAAATATACCTGTGTCTTTTTCCAAAACTGAATGCTGTATGTTTGTTTTTTTATTCATTTATATATTTTTAGTTTTTTTTCCTTTTTATTTTTGGGAGGGGGGGGGGGGGGGGTCACCATTAAACTTTCTTTTGATACTGTCTGTATTAGCACCTAATAATTGCTGAAGACTGTGTGGTGCCCTCTAGATGGTCTTTGCATTTTGACGCATATATCTCCGTTAACTAATTTTGGTTGTTGCATATTTTAATAGACGTGTTACGAAATGGTATATACTCGACGCTGAGGTTGACAAATTAGACTTTAAGTGGGGGTATCGTATCAAAACACAAAAGTGGTTTAAAGATTTGAATTACCTGTGTATCAATTGAATCTTGTGTTAAAACTGCACAATAATGATGTCCACGTATGTTTGTTCCTTATAACAGACGTCCCTTTGATCTCTTTATTATGGACATTTCATTATAAATAATCATTATGTAACAAATGTCCATAAAAATAAATCCGTGAGGAATAAAAATGAAGAATCCCATAATATTTCTTCCTTTTGGAACACTGACAGGAGGCAAGAGTATTGCAGAAAGGATATAAAATCCAAGAGAAAAGAGAAAAGGAAAGCCGATAAAAAGAAGTAATAGATGAGAGAGACAACACTTGCCTTTTTTTTACGGACCTAGGTTAAACCTTCGTGAATGTTTGGCAATTGTACATATCATGCATATGACCAACATGACGCCTCTAGAGCCTCGCTTGCCCTTATAAGACCTTAGGAATGATTTTATAATATAATAATCTGTTAATGCCTACTTTGGAAAAGCTTAATTTCCCTTATATTATTTTCATGTAAAATGATACTGGTTCGACACAACGAAATGAGAATCTTTGGAAAAGACATCCTATATATGCATATTCATGCAAAGTTTCAAAACATTTCGAATTGTAGTTTTGAGGTCTAAAATTGTCTTATCCGTTTGACCAGCCTTTCAAACAGTCTGAAAAGTCTAAGACAAGTTGTTTCTTTGTTTAATACTTTAACTTTAACTTTAACTCAGTCTTAGAAACTAAAGTTTAAACTGAAATTGTAATTCCTCTTGTAAGGGTTCTATGTCAAATGTGACTCATTTTTCGCCTGTTTGACATCCTAAATTCACATAAAAGAATCATATACATTATTTTTTTTAAATTCACACGCAGTAGTTTCCTAGGACAACAGTATGATGCCGAACAGTTTTAATTTACTGCCTTCAATTCCCCCAGGATTTTGTCGCAGAAAGAATAAAATGCAATAGTCCTATAATCATAAGCAATGATATCAGAAAATGATTACTAGTATTCTAAATTGATATAATTTCAAATGAACGAAAGAAGTGTGTAGAATACCTGGTTAACATCGCGCTAATTGAAGTTTACCTGTTTTAATCGATAATCAATGTTTTGACACAGTCCCCACATTTAAAGTCTAATTTGTCAACCTCAGCATTGAGTAAACACTTTTTCGTAATACGTCTATTAGAACGATCAAAACTACATTTTCATATAAAAAAACAATGATTTACAGTTTGAAAATCAAAAGCTTAGTGTTACATTCCATTGTGCATCAGATATCATATAGACGTTGATGAACAGGTAAACAAAGTTTAACTTCCTGAATGCGATAGGCTCCTGATCGATTGCTCCATGTTATATTTTATCATACTGCGTCATAATGTTATCTTTGATACACATTTCTTCACCAATCTTGTTGTTATTACAGTTCTATGGTAAGTTTATTTTATATGTAAAACTTATTGTAATTACATAAAGTGCAACTAAGAGAAGTTGAATGTTTGAATTTAGGCGGGGTTTTTTATTATGCACAGTTTTGTGTCTTTCCACCTCGGTATTTGAATCAAGTGTGGAAGGTCACAATTTCGATCACGACTAGGTCGATACAAAGACGTACAAAGTATTGCATATGAGTGAAAGAGTGACCACTGAATTTAAAAATAAACACCCTCCAGTAATCCATTAGACTATCCGTCTTCTCAATTTGCTCTGATGAGGATTGGTTGTTCTATTTCACCTGTTACTAGTCTATTTTTATGACGTATTTTAAATAATTGTAATAAATTCAAATTAATAGTCATATTCATGGTGATTGACTCCAAAAAAATGGCGTTTACTTATTAATAAAGACATGAAACAAAGAATAATGTACTTTGTTTGAATGTATACAATAGGGACTACGATCTTGAAAATTCGTAAACAATGTTATATCTGTATTGGCACGTAAACGGTCACATTTTCACATTAGCTGGATAAAACTGTCCGAGTCTAGATTCACTTAACCAAAAATTGGATATAAATAAAATTGAGACAAAATATAATGTGAAAAAAGTATTTTAATGTAAAAAAAAAGTTGTTAAACAACATAAACAATGGGTATATTTTTCCTTTTAGTATATTATACTATATTGTTTGTTTGTTTGTTTTGTTTGTTTGTTTGATTGTTTGTCTGTTTTTGTTTGTTTTGTTTTCATTGCAATTGCAATATACTTCATTTGTGTCTTGTGAATTTCAAACGACAATTTGAGATGCGATTTGGAGAATGCTATAACGATAGGAGATTGTCAACCATTAAAAACCGTGCAGTAGAATTCATTTTTTTTATATATACATATTGTGTTGCTTGTATGCTTTGGAGAATGCTATAACGATAGGAGATTGTCAACCGTAAAAAAATCGTGCAGTAGAATTCACATTTTTTTTACATATTGTGATGCTTGGATGCTTTGGAGAATGCTATAACGATAGGGATTGTCAACCGTTAAAAATCGTGCAATATAATTCACATTTTTTTTACTTATTGTGTTGTTTGGATGCTTTGGAGAATGCTATAACGATAGGAGATTTTCCACCGTTAAAAATAGTGCAATAGAATTCAATTTTTTCTTATATATATAGTGTTGCTTGGTTGCTTCCGCGTTAAATCGCAGTGAGACTTATGCAGAAGTTTCAAGGGAAATAATCATGCATGCAAGGTTACGGTTTTCATTTCAGTAAACACAAACTCAAGAGAGGTTCATATGACAAATATATCTGAAGTAGTTGGCACTGATGGTATCAACTTGAAATGTGTATATGCCAATGATCATGGCGACCTAGTGACAGGTGTAGACTTCTTTGCCATAAATGATTCTACAGACTCATTTGTCAAAATAGCAGAATCAACATTATCTATGTCAAACCCAACAAAGTTACTACCCTATGGAGAATATCTGTTTGGCAGTGCTTATATCACCAAATTGTCAGATTTGCCTTCTGAAGTTGTTCTCACATTTAATGACCTAAAATGTAAACATGAAAGAAGCTATAGATGCAGGCTGAGTGTACACAGCGCTGTGCCAACTCATTCGGCACCAATACAAATATTTGTTAGAGGTAAGAGCATCATGTAATAGTTAGCATGCGCAACCCCCCGAGTACCAGGATGTCCTACTACAGATCAAGTAACCTGTGCAATTTGGGGGAAAAGTTTACTGTTTACCCATGATGTTGTCGTGAATAGAAACATTAAACAGTTAATTTTCCCCCCAAATTGTACCGATTGTAAGCTTGATTTTACATTTTTAGGTTGTTCTTACTTGACCGAGTACCAGGATGTCCTACTACAGATCAAGTAACCTGTGGAAAAAGATAAATTCCATAGTCAAAAGTCGGTAATATGAAAATAGTATATTTGTTAGCCGGCATGAAGTAAACACGACGAATCAAAGATTTCAACTTAATATAAAACTAATATCGGATAATGGTGTTGATAAAAATTACACCATTCCAGGGCCTTTTGTTTTCCACATAATTAATATTACCAGTAATTAACAAGTTCCGGGTCGAATCCGAATCCGATACCGATATCAATAGTATATATACATATATGTTACATGTAGTTTCCGGTTGTAATAAGAAAACAAAAACGGCTTCAAACAGAAACGGCGAATCAAAGAATTACACTTTATATATAACTAATATAGGACAATGGTGTTGATTAAAAATTACACCATTCACGCTTTTTTGTTTTCCATATATTTAATATTACCAATAATTAACAAGTTCCGGGCCGAGTCCGATACCGATACCAATAGTATTTGTTATACTTCATGTCAAAATGCCAGATTGTGATTGGTTAATACGAGGTAGATAATTTACTCTATCCCATGGAAAATACTCTATTACCCTTCACGGAGACTTTTGATCAATTGTTCGCTTTATTAAATATGGATGGTTGTTATGTTCACGATGTCATAGTTTATTACTTTGAATTTTATATTTAATAGACAGTATAATAACAGAACATTCAGTTTAATAATAAATTGAATAACACATAGCTGAGAGGGCGATAGAGCAGATTGTTCCCCCTCGAAAAGACATTGTTTCGCCAAGGTTGACAATGTTTTCTCGGGGTAACAATCTGCTCTATCCCCTTCTCACGGGTTCAAACAGAAAGATTTTGAAAGCAAAGAAAACTGTGCACCTTATAATCAGCATGACTTAATCAGATGACAATACAAATACTAAAATTCCAGGCTAAAAATAAGGCGAAAGTACTTTAATTCAGTCACGAAACATGTCACGGGTGTGTTTTAGTATATCTATATTTGGCAGTGGTAACATCACCAAATTGTCAGATTCGCCTTCAGAAGTTGTTCTCACATCTAATGACTTAAATGCAAGCACGATGGAAGCTTTAAATGTAGATTAAGTGTACATCAAGCTGTACCAACTGATTTGGCCCCAATGCAAGTATTCATCGAGGTAGATGAAATTTTGTACATAAGATACCATGTGCAGTAGAAAATTCTTAGATATTAAACTGAAGACTTATATACTTTTTTCAAATTTGGTGAGATGGCCTCGGTGGCTGAGTGGTCTAAGTACAATGTAGTTTAATTGTTGTATCGCTAGCTTGTCAACACCGAGGTTGTGAGCTTGAATCCGCATTCGACTTAAATCTTAATTGACTAGGATTGTCACTTTTCCTATCGAAGGTCGATGGTTTTCTCCCAGCAATCCGGCTTCCTCCACTTATAAAGACTGACCGCCATGAAAACGCACATAAGTGCCGAAGGTAGCATAAAACACCAACCAATCAATCAAATGCGGTGTGAAAACCATTTTGAATGATATTCCTTATAAAAGTCATCTGATAAAACTATACTTTCTTACAACGGGTGCAAACGGATAAATACATACTTTATGCATTTGCTTGCGATCTTAGACCTTTTAAAGATGGTATATTTGGACACTTTTATTATTTAGCAAACACATATTTGATAGACTAAGTTTAGGATGGTATTGCTTTCAATTCCAAGTATCACAGGCACTTGTCTCTGAAAAAAGCATTTCCTATATACCTTAATATAACACAAGGTACTTAACTCGCAATTTTGAAAAATGTCACCTGTCGCGAATTTCCGTTATATTTCGATTTTTCGGTTGTCCCTACTATAACTTGTTATGCCGTAAATTTAAATTGATTTATCTACACAATGGTGTATAACACGCCTACATTTGTAGTCGGAATCATTCGTAGCAGGCCTCCCAAAGAATGTCAGTCGTAATTATTTCGTATACCCACAACCGATTGAACATATAAGTCTCGCAGTAAAGGATTTATCATAAAAAGTATTTCCAATAAACCTGTTAGTTTTTGTCTTAATAGAACTTATCATTGAGATAGTAAATTTGTAAAAGATTCCGTGAAAAAAAAATCTATCAAATGTTATTTGAGGTATGCCTAATGAGGTACGAGTTTCTATTTTTAGACTCAAATTTTCCCTTTCCATCAATGTCATTCAGACTCTCTCTGGACTCTTACATATAAAATGAGATAACCCCAAGAAACATTTATTTTTAGCAATAAGATTTGACCATTCGGAAACCGAGATAGATACCAAATGGACAATTATAATTAACCATTTACTGCGAGACTTATATTTCCAATCGGTTGTGTATAACCGTAATAATTGCTAGTTAAGTACCTTGTGTTATATTAAGGTATATAGGGGGAAGGGGGGGGGGGCATTTTAGAGACAAGTGGCTGTGACAATTATACTGAACCAAACATTCAACACAATTTCAATGATACTTTAACTGTGATACTCAGGACGACTAAAGTTGTAAAGAGCATTAACTGTGTGTCGTTCAAACGCAAGCGATATCGAACCAATAAACGTTTTCGACTTTTCCGTTTCGTTCACTATATGTCCTGGTGCTGGAGAGACACATACGTTTATATGTTTAATTATGCAAGCTTCTAATCATTGCTGTATCGCTTTCAAATAAAATACCGAAGAATGTGTAACATTTTCTTCAAAGGGTCCTCAATGTAACGTCATTAGGGTGTGATGTCATATATCGAATTGTTAGGCATGTGACATCACATATGTCCAGCTGTTGTATTTTCTAGGCACACGAAATGCAACCATATATAATTAGTGGCAGCAAGAGAGTTAAATGTTTGATATGTAAAGTTTCAAAACTTTTTTGGGCAAAACAAATTTGCCATATAAACGACGAAATATATTAATACATGACATTATACGTTATATGGAATGCTACTGATCCCCCACGGATCAATAACGTAACAGTACACTAATTGCAACGATCGAGTACCCAAATTGAGTCCATTTACTAGTAGCAAAAAGAGACTAAATTTGTGTTTTTGTGATTTGACATTATGCACGTCTTTCTTAAAAAAATGAATAGTAAGCATTGACTATTGTAAAATTGTTCTAATAATTAGAGAAATAAAACAAGACATACGTTATTCGATTTTTACGGATGTTAATTACTTAAGCATAGATACAATTTGGGTACTCCCAATTACAGAATCGTGTCTTGTTTGGAGGTCGGTTCAAACCAATATTTCTATGATTCATGAATATGGATTCAAAATTTAATTGGTGGAACTACATAGTAAATAATGATACATCTACAATATCAACACAAATGGAAACTTTTGTCTGGATTATAAATAAACGTAGGTGAAAAAACTGTCAAAATATGTGCAATTTGGGTACCGTCACGTTAGAGGGTTAGTACAATCCATAGGGGGTAAAACCGAAGACCGAATCTCCTCAGTAGTGAACCGTATAACGAATTTATCGCACTTGGGACCTTTCCTGCCAAGTTATGTACGAAAAATAAACAATGAATTACAATAACATTAATTTAATAGATGACGTCATCATTAATAGTAGACGTGACGTCATGATACCCATATGAAATCTACTGACACATACGGATCCATAGGGGGTCACCACGCGAAGGCGTTAAACCAATCACAAAGTTTCTAATTTACCCGAGGTGCTACAAGAGACATTTACTGAAGAGGATCCTTACTTATACGTAAGATATGCACATGACATTTACAATCTCGTTCAACCGACTTAAACACAATATACATAAATTAGTAAAATTTAACTCTCTAAAACAGTATCATAGTTAAGAAAAAAAAACTTGTACAGCGTTAAAAAAACAATAATGCACAATTTAATATCACAGAATGCTTGCCACGCTTTCATGTTAAAAGCTGATATGAATCATACTGACCAACTTCAGCGGTTGTATCCAGAATAGTATTAGGTGTAATACCACCATTGATTTTCCCCTATTAGTCTTTGTTAAATTTGCACTTTTCAAAAAATTGTGCAGAATTTATCTTTGTTTCAAATAAAGAAATACTTGGCATGAGTAAAGTTTGATCCTGTCCAGTACTATAGAAAAAATTTCACATAACATTTCATTGCATATAAGAAAATAACCATCACTGGAAGTTAACCAATCAAATTTTCCCCCTTTTTTAACCTGTATACAAGCTTTAGTAACCATGTAACCTCAAGTTTCCAAAATATTCTATAGAAACCCCAAATAAAAAAATAATGGTGCTTTGAAATACCCAAGATATATGTTTATGACCCAGAAATGTTTTACTGCAATGAAATGTAGGATCAATTACCTACAACTGTCAAATTCAAGGGAATATTTTTTTTCGACCTATTTTCGTATGCAACCGGATGTGACGTACTATGATTTGGTGGTATTACACCTAAAGAAGACTTTTTTGTTAAATAAACTGAATGTGACTTTTTTCCTTTGTTATACTGGTTATTTCAAGCATTCCTGTCAAGTTTTGTCATAATCAGTTCAATAGTTTGAGAAAAATCTAGTATAATGTAAGACGACATCTGCAGCGATTCGAGCTAAATTTCTTCGAAAAATCCAAACCAAGCCGCATCATGATAGAATATAGTGTGGACCAATAAATGATCAAATATTTATCTCATCTGCCTACAAACAGTTGAATATGATACAAAAGATGACTTTAGGATGATAAATACTACCAATGGACCTCTTTGTCTTCCTTATAAGGTCTCTTTTGGTCCATTTATACCTTTCATTTCCTCAAAATTTCGACTTTATAGGCCAATAAATAAAAATTTTGGGATAACTTTCACTCATTTATGATAGAAATGTTATAATAAATGATTAATTGAAGTATTCAAGCTGAATGAACTATCCGTATAAAAGTTTACTGTCTCCAAGGAGGTTTCAATAAGTCCTTACATAAAACTTAAATTTACTCTGCGTTCCAGAGAGGGACATAAAAAGCTTCTCTTTTGGTGAATAATTTGTTGTTACTGCTTTAAAAATCATTTCATTTACTTAAAACTATATATTTATTAAAGTATTTCTTAGGAAAAATTTTCTAGTATAGCAGAATATAAGAAAAAAGGAGAAAAAGCTCCCCAAAACTCTAAGTATGGCTTATTCTGTCAACTAATATTCATGGTAAAGTCCTATTTCAAGGAAATTTTCTCATAAAATGTGTTTTGGAGACTCAATCCACTCAGAATATTTCATTATTAGTAATATTTCACTTAAATAGCAAGAAATTTTAACACATGAGAGTACTCACAAGGTCAAAGGTGCATGTACAGCTTCCCATATTAGGTGTAATACCACCATTGATTTTCCCCTATTAGTCTTTGTTAAATTTGCACTTTTCAAAAAATTGTGCAGAATTTATCTTTGTTTCAAATAAAGAAATACTTGGTATGAGTAAAGTTTGATCCTGTCCAGTACTATAGAAAAAATTTCACATAACATTTCATTGCATATAAGAAAATAACCATCACTGGAAGTTAACCAATCAAATTTTCCCCCTTTTTTAACCTGTATACAAGCTTTAGTAACCATGTAACCTCAAGTTTCCAAAATATTCTATAGAAACCCCAAATAAAAAAATAATGGTGCTTTGAAATACCCAAGATATATGTTTATGACCCAGAAATGTTTTACTGCAATGAAATGTAGGATCAATTACCTACAACTGTCAAATTCAAGGGAATATTTTTTTTCGACCTATTTTCGTATGCAACCGGATGTGACGTACTATGATTTGGTGGTATTACACCTTTTAATACAACAACTTCATAAACTGTGACGAAAAACAGGTAGACCGTAAACATACGTGTATTTCTCCATATTCCAAGAGCATATTACAGGAAATCTTGAATCGTTTCTCTTGGAGAACAAGTAATTAATTAATACGATAACATTTTCACTGGATCACTAGCCTATGGTATTTTGTATTCGAATTATTTCGATGTTGCATTGAATCTATCAAGGCAATATCGAATGAATTCCATATATCTTACAGTTCCACCGTCGAAACCTCAACATGTTTTGATAATTGATACACCAGTGGATGTTTCAACTACAGCTGCAAAAGCAAGTGTTCGCATTCCTACATCGTCTAAAAATAAGCCAACTATAACATTTCCAGGAAAAGACATCATCCAGACAACTCCCTTGTATAATTTTGGTTCTCAGATTGTTGATGACGACATTCTGTCTACTACCTTCTCCGATTACAACACTGTTCAGCAAATGACCGAGGAGAAAAGTATAATGGGAGAAGACTATATTACGTTTAAATGTTCTGGAAATGTTGGTAAGCCTGCAGGAATGTTCATCTTTCAAAAGTTTCGTGAGGACAACATCCAATCTACAACCTATAATGCAACGACTACCGAAATAGAAGAGATTCCAGGAAACTGTTCATACTATCGTACAAGCTACCTCATATTTCAGGTAACTGCTGAAGACAACCTGGCAGTGATACGATGTGTAGTAGTATCACCTTTAGCAGAAGAGGACACGTATGTAGATTCAGAAAAGGTAGAAGTTAAATGTAAGTATGCAATTATAGGACAAAAACGTTTACTACTCTCTCTCTCTCTCTCTCTCTCTCTCTCTCTCTCTCTCTCATGTCATGTAAACTGAGCATAGTTCGATTAAAACGTAAACTTAACAGACTTTGTGCCATGAACATACAGAGATATCTAGTATACGTTAACAAGACAGAAATTAAACAACACAAATAACTAAAACCCATATAGAAGTCTTAATACAGTCTTCTACAATAAGTCCTTTCTTTTATCATAGATACTAGTTTGAAGTTGTTTATTTAAAAAAGGGGTCAAATATGAAATTGAACTCTTACATGTAGCCTTGGTAGCATTTTTAGCTTCGGATGTAAGTTCTCGCTGAAATAAGGGACACTTGTCTTTAAGAAATTTTGTATGTATTCGGCTTCAGATGAATAAAATTAACGAATCGGCTTGACTTTCCGTCTTGAATTTTCCTTAGAGTTCAGTATTTTTGTTGTTTTACTTTTTTCTAGCACAGGTGCACAAGAACAGGTATTACCCATCCGGGCTATAGCTTTTTGTTGAAAGTTCAATACATCAAACTGGACAAATTTGGTGTTGTTGGTGGGTCTCTGATAGTCTGCGTTATTTATTTATACCCTCTCTTCTGGGCTAACTGCGATTTAGAGTTGGATCTATTGTATAAAACATCTATCTAGTGTTGAAGATCGTAGGTTTCCCTCTGGATATCTATTTTGTGTTGTTCAGTAGCTTTTTCTTTGACGTAGACAAGATGATCAACATGATCAACGCAAGTTTCGCTGACCTATCTGAAATTAATTTCAGGAAGTTCAGTACTGTTATCCGAAGGAACCTCCATTAAAACGACGATTTTGCTTCTTTCCTAGCATGCCGATTCTCTAATTATGTTCATTTCAATATCACATGCATGAATTTCAATAACTTCCATCTTCAGATCACGTACAGATACCAACTGTAACAAAACATCCTGATAAACAAGAATATATAATTGGTAGAGATATTTCTATAATATTAACGTGCACAAGTGACGGAAATCCTAAACCAATCTATCGTTGGTATAAAGAAAACCAAGATAATGGCATTATAACTGCTGGAATCTTTATTATTAGTAATATAAATACCACAAATGGCGGTATATATATTTGTAACGTCAGCAACACCATCAATGGTCATACCTACACAAAAGCGGCTAAAATGGAAGTCGATATTATAAATGAAGGTAACCTTAATCAATGAATTATGAATTTACCCCCATGCTTAATCGACACTGTAAACGTGTATATTTCTGATTATATCAATATCTAATATATTCAATTGACCTAAATGATATCGTATACGCTGGCAAATTCTTCATACTATTGAACAGAGAGTTATATAACAGTAATACTGTTACCTCCGGTCGGAAAATACATAGAATATGCTCATATGAATTTTAGGGATTGAAATCTTTTATATCTTTTTATAAGGAAGCAGAGAAAAATTATCAATCAACGATGAATTGCTAAAATTGTTTGAACTTTAAAACAAATTACGGTATTGACGTTCTAGAATTGTTTGTTTATAGTTTATCAAGGCTGAATTCATTTTCAACAGAATCTAATTTTATTATCAAATTTTATGGATACTTATGTATATTTATATGGATACATAAGCAAGTTGAACATTTACTTAGACAGTATTGGTATAGTCTGTCTGAAATTTGAATTAAAAAAGCAGCTTCATGGTAAATGTCAATTAGAGAGTAACTCCATTGAAAAAATTACTATTTTGTTTAGATCGTTGTCGTTTTGATATTTTCAAACTATGAACAGAATGTGGCACTGGTTTCTTACGTATCTTGTTAATTGGTTTTTTTTTTAAATAACGAGTCACGTGCTATAAAATAATCAGCATTATATATTGAATTAAAACAGACTCATTCAAACAACTTATATAATTCAATTTTTGTTTTCTAAATGATAAGTAGAATAAAGCAAACTGTTTACTGGTTTATGTATCAATTGTTTAATCTTGAACCAAGAAATAACAAAATAGAAAAAAACAAGCAAACATAAGAAATCTTTATTTCAGAAAATGAAGCTAAATCTACAACCTCAAAAACCATCATTTCAAATCAAACTGCAGAATTAAAAAACGATAACACCGGTAAGTTTTTGTAGTTGCAAGTTCACAAATTCAAATTGGTAAAAACTAGGTTTGAATTGAGCATCTGGTTTACCCTGAAAATTTTAAGCACTCATCCTGATAAGGCGATGCATTTTTGTAATATTTATTTCATTTATTTATGCATGCATAGTGTTCATAATCATCCTTTACAATAGATGTTAATAGGAATCAGTACAATCTTATAATTTCGATTTTCAACCACTTTTTCATACATTCTGAAAGATTTCTACAGTTGAGATAGTTGCTAGCCCTTACGTTTCTTAAAAAAACAAAAACAAGAAGTAATCGATCGATATTTTTTGTGTTAACTTTATTTACATATATGATAATAATATTAACAGATATGACACGTATTTATATTTTTACGGGATTGACAGATTGTGCCACTATTGGAAAGGAGAACTGCTGACCCTTTATGAGCACCTGATTTTAATCCCGGTTTCAATATGAGATTCGGGTCGACCTATCAATGATTTTCTGTACAAAGACGTTGTATGATTGCCGATGATTGTTTTATTTTTCATAACTGTGTTTGTAAGTTCGTCTCTTCTTTTTGCTATGGTATTGCCTGTCTTTTTTTACTTTTTGTGTTAGTTACCTTAGGTTTCGTCTTTTAAGAAGAGGTCAACAGTTTAAATCCTATTTTGGGTCTGTACAAAGTCAGGTTTATTATAATTCTTTACTGTCATGTAAGTAAAACATGATACTTATGACAAATACAAATGATAAACAATGAACAAAAAATTTAGCTCTATAAAGTTTAAATGTTTGCCTTGTCTGTGTTTAATGTATTGACTTGGTTGTTATTAGTTTTCAAAGTTTACTCTGATGTTTAATAGTATTGGTCATGTAAAAATTCCTGTTATCTTATATACATGCTATATTTGATTCGCATACAACATATTCCAAGTCACTGGTGTTTAAAATATCCAAATATATGAACATTATTCATGAATCTTATACTGATTTTTTTAACTGCTTGTATTGAAGCTGTCATTGTGGTTGGCACAGTATGCGGATCAATAATATTGGTTCTTTGTGTGATGTTATTTGCTGTTGTACAGAACAAGAAGAAGTAAGTATCAAGTTATATTTATACATGCATTGAATTAATTAAAATAAATCATTATATTGTCGTTTTTGGACAGCGGGTCGATGAATATATTGTAATGTGACGTCATGGATATAAACATTGACCGTTTCAAAAATCATGAAAATCACTGAAGAAACATTTAGTGTCGACATTGGTACCGCTATTGCTGTTTATGTTTAACTACCTCTGGCTCGATACGACGGCTGGTGGACTCATTGTAACAGTGCTCGAGGGTTTCACCAACTCGATAGCACGTATTACCGAAATGGCATGAAATTCGAATTGTTTTATACCCCCACTCTAAATATTTGGTCTTTATTGCAATCACCTTGTCCGTCTTATCCGTTCATAATAACAGGTAAAAATGTCAAAAATTGAGGTACAGCATTTACCATTGTGTTATATATTTAATCACTATAAAAACAAATAACTATTTCAAAAAAGAGAATCAAAATGGCATATAGACATTCCATAGACAAAGTGCATAAGCAAAAATGAAAGACAAGGATATATTACCAAAAAAATGGACCAAACAATAAAGGTTAAAAATATACAAGGACACATAAAAAGAACACTATAACACGTAATTAAGATGACACACAACGTCAGTACCTAAAATCTATACTTAAGGACCGTCATGTATTAATTGTGAAGTTGATTCGGAATATTTATCAAAAAGGTCTTGGTATCTTCCAATGAACTTTTTTAGAAAAAAACCGAGACGTTCTTTAACATAACCCTGGTTCATCAACTTTCTCAATGTTTTTGCTCAGACACTGGTGACGTTTTTTAATATCTGAGTAGCAGTTGCAAGCTCTTGAATACCGAATGAGTTTGGAAATGTATATCCCATATGCAGGTGAAGTTGATTTGTTGCTGCTTAGGTAGGGCAAATTTATAATTTCAAGATTAAAATCGTTTGTCATAGAATCTGGTACTGAGATGACCACTTATGTAAAATTCGAGGTATTAGTCTAAAAATGAGGCGAAGGAAGCCGTGTCTGTTGTTTCTTTAATTTCTAGTTCTGGGGGATATATTAATGGAACCCAATCAGAAAAGTTTGGATTGTTAATGGAAAGAACATAAACGATATATCTGAAATTAAATGATCTGACTTCTTGATCTTATTGTTTTTGACAAGCGACTGATGGAACTCCGTCTCATATGAAAATAGGAAGAGGTCGGCAAGGAGAGGCGCACAGTTCGTTTCCATAGGAATGCCTACAATTTGTTGAAAAAGTCTTAGACCATTTCATTTTTGTCAGTGTTAGATATTCATATCAACGTACAGTAGTGCTAGAAGGACAACTATTTATAGTAGTTTTCATTAACTTCATCTATTTTTCTATAGAACTTTAAGGTGTCCTCTTACAGTTAACTGCCGAAACATAACAGAAGACTATGTAAACACAACACAGCAACATAATTCACTATATGAAGGAGTTGGACATGTTTTGGATGTACATAACTATGAAGAACTTTCAACAAGGGAACATCAGTATACAAATACCAACTTTAGTTACTGTAGTAGTTAATTAAAGTAAAGAGCTACTCTGCGATAGAAAATATTTGCATTATAAAAAAAATATCCATTACCAATTGTTTTAGAAGGATATATGTGTGTTTGTATTGCCCTAATAAACATTTTGTGTACTTTTATGGGTTTAGTCATTATCAGGAAATATTTATGCGTGTATAAATATTATCTAATTTTGCCAAACGTTTTCTTATCATAACGTATAAAATAACAGCCATTTAATATCAGCCAAATACATATTTTATAAAGGTTTTGCTAAACTATTTTCAATTATCATGTTAATTTATTCGTGCTGGAGTGAACAAGACGTGAGTGAATACTTCTTTGTTAGAACATGCAATAAAAAGGCCTTGTTTGATCTGGAAGACTGATAAATACAGTGTGATATTCAAAATAGGTATTGTTCAAAAAAGACATCCGGCAATAGAATTTAAGATCAAGGTCATATATTGTCACCTAGTTTGTCTGCTTCCTCTCACAAAAGGTTTCATGTGCATCATGTAGAAATTAGTGTACCAGGAAATACTTTCCTTGTATAAAATGTTGGGAATTTGTCAAATACAATATATAATTTGAATTGGCTTCATTCATTTTCTGTATTGTACCCAAAAAAATGATGCACATTTACTGGCGTTCATTTTAAGCTTTCATACGGTTATTTTCTGTAAACTAACTTTCATGAAATATTAAAATAATTCGAAACACTTAGGTTGCTCTATCCTCGATTAAAGATTGTATAATTTTTAAGTTTTCACTTAATGGTCATAAAAGCTATGAACATATATTGTACAAATTTCGAGATTCCGATGTGCCTGCTCATTAACTTAATTACTGATTTGTCGTTCTATCTGTTTTAATTTGAGATTAAGAAAAATTATGGCATAGAGCACCATCGACAACTACTTAAATTCGACACATACAAAACGAAGATTTTCATTTCCTTTTTGAAACAGATTTGAAAAAATATAAAATTGTCATTAACAAGCGAAGTACAAGTATAAAACAGTATTTACATATCATAAAAAAATGTCTAGCACTTCAATTGTGTTTTTTGTCGAGAACAAACACTCGTATTTAAATTATAAGATATTTATTTTTGCAATGTATATTTATAATGTTTTAGTAGTTGTCTTTTTATCATTTTCCTTTGAGCTATGGCGACATTCGTCTTTTAGCATCAAGAATTTGTAAGGACTTTTTTAAAATAAGAGATGACATTTAGTGTTAGGCATACGTATGTCACATTATAAAGTCTTAAAGTTTACAGCACTCAGTTATACACACGGGAATTATAAGTATAAACACTTAGGTTAAGTATTCTAAATAGTAATTTCCGGTTATTGCTTTTGTGAACACGACATACAAGATGTTATCAATAAAGTTCTTTCTTGTTCAAATAATATATTTTTATCATACCTCTATACAGAATTTTTCGTTTTTACCATATAAATTTTATTGCAAATATTTCTCTATTATTTCCTCTAGGTCGTATACATAATTAATATTTGGTCTTTCACTAAATTCACACATTTCTTCCTGTTTACCATGACAGATCTGATATGATTTATGTTTGGGTATTATAATAAAAATCTTCAATAACACGTACAAGGAAGCACAAGAAATAGGGAGGAAAAGGAAATAATTATCTGCGGTTTTTTTTCTGTTTGCTTTTAAGGTGGTACCTAACACTACAGGGAGATAACTCTGTAAAAATCAGCTAAACGTTTTAATTACGTTGTATTGTTAAGGAAATATTAAGCTTCTCAATGATCAAAATTAGTGTTTGTCAAACTGCTATATAACCAAAGAAATTTTTCTGATAAAGTGGTTGGTTCAAATTTTTTGAAATTTTTATATTTTTGTCAAAGAGTCAAAGTAAACATTTTGTCAAAATTTTATGAAAATTAAACGAGCCAAATTAATGTTAGTCAAGATGTTGGGTACCACCTTAATGAAAGAAAAATATAGTGTTATGCAATTTCAAACGGTGAGCAATCTACAAATATAAAATTAATATGTTTCGTTACTGTCCTTTTATTATAACTAATCATGAAAACAACTAATGACAATTCTTCTCTTTCTTATATATGTATTGTCTACTATTCCAGTGACCAATGACCGATTAAAATTATATCTTGGTTAGATGAACCTTGCCAGACCGACTTGTGCACCTTATAATTATTCCCTAAACCAAATAAAAATGACAAAATGGTCATAAATTTTGAGACAACTAGCCGATATTTTATTATAGTAAGCTACATAAAGACTTAGAGATGACAAAATGTGGAACGAAAAAACCAACAATGCAACAAAACAATATCTAGTGTACAATTTGTACCTTAAAGTAGTGGAATTGTTGTTCAAATTGCGATTCCATATACATTTTAGATCATTAAAGCCCCTTACATGTAAATACGCCATGTCCACGTATATTTACTTTTTTTCAGGAACGACCATTACATCCTTCATTATTGTACAGACCAATATAGAGATGCTCCCATTGTTACTTATAGGAGGCATACACGCAGAAAAAGAAAAAAGAAAACAAGTAATGCTATATCAGTGTCTACATAAATAGATACTTATATACATCTACGCACTTCGTCCTCTTTCACAATAAACACCAGCCTCGTGATATTATTAATGAGAATTCTATTAATGAAAATATAACAAAACATTCTATCTCTGGAAATTAATCTTTTTACCTAGTACTTTAACATCTATGCTTTCGTTTTTTGTCAGTTGGATTTTAGAATAAAAGTATTAAGTATTTAGGGCAGATTTTAAAATAAGAAATACAACTAGAGTTACGATTGTGAGCAATAGCTGATAGCACCCTCGTCGCCCATTGTAAGAGTAACGGCAGCCATTTTGAAAATTCCAAATTCAAACAGCGCATCTACACATGCCATATAACATATTTGTAAAGTGTCATTAAGTTGAAATTAAATTGAAATTTTTGAGAATTTTGCTGTTTCCAGGGCAACGTTGACCATTTCCAAAATTCCAAAGACAGATGCCACATTGCCACATGCTATGTTTCATATCCATAAAGGTTTTTTGGGTTTGATATGATAATCCTTAAGAAAATACAGATTTAATGTGTTTTCCCGTAGTGTCAATGTAAAATTTCCCCCTATCCATAAAGTTTTATTGGGTTTGGTATGATATTCCTTAAGAAAATATATATAGCTTTAATGAGTTTTCCCGTAGTGTCGATGTAAAACTTTCCCCCTGTTTTCACGACAATGGCAGCCATTTTTGAATTTCTAAATACTGTGTGCACATCTAGGCATACCAGGTAACATTTCCATAAAGTGTCATCTATTGAGGCCTTATAATAAAAGATTTGGAAATTTAAACATTTTCCATATTTAAACAGTTTCCATGGCAACGGTAGCCATCATGAAAATGCCATACCCCGATTGCAAATCTGTACATGCTGGTTAACATTGCGATATAGTTCCATTAAAATTGGTTCATACAATTCCGAGATATAAGCTGGATAAAAAAGTGGAAGAAAAATAATACGAAAACAAAGAAACGTAGATTATCAATATGTCACCCCAACTCCGTTAGGGGTGCCATAACTATATACTATATAAGGCTTTGAATTTAATGGTATGAAGGACTTAAGAGTAAATTCGAAATTGTCATTTTATTTTTTTATTAAATGCAGAATAACAGTTTTCTTCAATAACTTGTGTCTATTCGACATCAATGAAATGACAGACAGCAACCAACGATAACCACTGGGTTATAGCCTCCCGACTTTATACAGACACATATAGAATGCAGTGAGGTAAAACAGGTTTCTGAGCGCCAAGCCCTCCCATAACCTGGGACAATTGTGTAACATAAGAACATACTGCAAAAATCAATTGGAAATGGCTTGTCTCATCAGATTGGTACGAAGCACAAAAAAGACAAGCATAAAGACAAAAGATACAACGTACCAATCTATAAGAGTATTCACAGTATTTGAAAGCTAAGTTAAAATAACAATAAGGAGATGTGGTATGATTGCCTATATGACAACTATCCACCAGAGTTCAAATGAGGTAAATAATAGCAATTATAGGCAGCAGTATGGCCTATAACAATGAGAAAATTGCAACGTCAATTTTGTTTTGAACAACGCCGAAGATAAAATGGACATTTTTGTAGGTATTGCTAGCTAGGAAATTAAATAAAATCATTATAAAAGTAAGTTTAAGGTAGTTCAGGGGTATACCGCCATCTTGAATTGTACAATCACAGTACATAATCGGTCTAGTTCTTTGCCTAGATCTGCAAAATTGTAGATAGATTTATTGGTTACACTGTTTATATATATAACGAAAACTTAGTGATTCATTGCATTATCGAAAATGTTTTAACAAATACCAAATATTTATGGTTTTTTAATCAATTTTTCAAATAAGCCATTTAGGGGGAGTTAACTCTTTTAGTACAAAATTTATACTGGACATTTAGGGAAATTTTCATTTTTTTACTTGTAGCAAGAAAACAAGTTCGGTGACACCATTTTTTCTTTCTATTTTCTTAAAATTTATTATAAAACCTATCTTCTCATATTTTATTTCAAAATTCTGTCTTATAGATTTCCTTTTATGCACAAAAATGTGTTTTTCCATAAACAATCTAAGCAAATTTTGGCAATTTTGAACGACTCGTACCTTAAAAAATAGCGCGGTGACCCGTAGTTTTTATTATTTTTTTGAAAAAAGCATGGTCAAATCTTCATTTTGGCAAAGTATAAGAAAATTCTGTCATTTTTTTTTCTATACCCCTGAACTACCTTAATGTATCTGTTCATTTTTTTTTTATCGTGAAACTGTTTATTTTCTATACGTTTTGCCTTTATAAAATCAAAATGGCTACCTTTCGTACGCGTATTATAGGTCCGCTTCGAAGTTCTAAATTTTCCTATTAGAATCGAAATAATTTTTCATACCATGCTCTATGCTCATTTAAACATGGGGCCTCATTATATTTGTCAACATTTTACAACTCACTAACTCTCGGTGTAAAGATATTGACAAAAATAATGCCTACCCATGTTAAAATGAGCTGAAATCATGGCATGAAAGAATTATTTCTTAAATTTGACAAAGACGCCACGTTTTTGCACCTGATGTAGTTGAAAGTACCTACCATTCATTCATGGTGGATGATTTTTAAACGAACTGAGATGTGGCATGATTAATTGCCAAAAAGATAACTTTCCAACGGACATCAAATGGCGTAGAAGTTAACAACTATGGGTCAACGTACAGCCTTCAACAATGCGCAAAACTCTTACCTCATAGTACGCTATAAAAGACACCGAAATGACAAATGTAAAATAATTCAAACGAAAAAATAATAAACGAAAATTAACACACGACAACCACTGAATTATAGGCTTCTGACTTTGGACATGTACATACAGAATGAGGTGGGTTAAACATATTTGCTGGCGCCCAATCTTCTCCATAACCTGGAACAGTGGTGTAACAGTACAACATAAGAAGTCCGTCATAGTATCCTAGTTAATCGCTCGCGAAACTAAACTGATAGTGGTATTGAATGCGTATACTGCATATATATGGTACAGTAAATTTTAGAGCTCCGTCCTCTTTGAATTCATATGAAACGAGTTTCTGGTAATTATAATGGTCAAAAAACTATTACACCAATCCATATATAAACTAAAATTAGTCCTCCTTGTACGTTTTTGTTTACATTTATTACAAACCCATAACGTATATGATCAACGGAAAATAATTAATTCAGTGATTGTTGATCGCTATACTTTAAAATTAATTAACATTCGTATTTTTTTACAATTTAAAGTTTACCGGACCGCGACCTTAATAAACAATCAACACAGAATTATGTAGCCCGTGGAAAATCAGTGAGTTGATAGAGCGATGTTATTTATTTTTATACCTTACATGTGTTTCCATTTGTTTATTAAACTTTGCCATAACATTCTGTTAATCCGGTCTTTCCCTTCCACTTGCGCTTTGCGGTTGTCGAAGTTCTTTGGGAGTTCTCGTGGTTAAGGTCACTGCATACCGAAAAGCTATCGGCAAACTAGAGTACGGGAAGACAATAAATCAATAACTACATTTCTGAAGATTTTGATAAAATTAAGGATTTTCTTTTACCAGAATGTCCATGTAGATTGCATAAACTTTATTTTTAAATCATATTCTTTGTTTGATACAAATTTTTTCCGATATGACACATTCAAGTGCAATAAATTGGGAAACACATTACCGTCGATTGTCGTCTAGATCTTTGGAGTTTCAAATGATGTAGCAGACATTATACAATACAATACAATATAAAATACATTGCTTTAAGAAATATAAAGAGAACTAACTATACAAGCCTGTAGATATCATTGCCCGAAACATACTGTAAATGTTTTATATTTCTAAGTAATAGACCCTTTTTTATTAAAATTCTTACTT